CCTGCTTCGGATTCTGTGTCTCCCTCTCTCTCTCTGTCCCTCCTGTGTGTTCTCTCTCTCTCAAAATTAAATACAACATTGAAAAAAAAAGTTTTGCTGTGAAGGAGACCTAGGCTCCAAATTTTGGTTCTACCAGATAAGCTGTGAAAGTCTCCAAGTAGTCTCTGTGCCTCAGACTCCTCAACTGCTAGTAACAAATGGATACAGGGGAACTGGATCTGCCTTATAAGGGTGTTGTAATGAAATCACACCTGTCTAGTGCCTACCACAATGCCTGCCTGGCACACAGTTGGCACTAAATGAGAGGTAAAGCAGAGAGGGGTGTATTTTATGAAAGATGCAGAACCATAGGGGCGCCTGGGTAGCTCAGTCGGTTAAGCGTCCAACTTCTGCTCCGGTCATGATCTCACGGTTTGTGGGTTCAAGCCCCACGTCGGGCTCTGTGCTGACAGCTCGGAGCCTAGAGCTTGCTTTGGATTCTGTGTCTCCCTCTCTCTCTGCCCCTCCCCTGTTCGTGCTCTCTCTCAAAAAAAAAAAAAATAATAATAATAAATAAAACGTTAAAAAAATTAAAAAAAAAGATGCAGAACCATAAATACTCTTGCAGTTCAGAAAGTTACATCTCAACAAAAGCACACTAAAGAAAAAAGATTTAAAAATTGGGATACAAAAAGAAAAGACTATTTCCTCAAAGATACTAAATACTGAAAGGTTATTTAGACTCTGAGAAGAAAGGATGTAATGAAAACCTTTAGGGTTTGAGAAAGATGCTAAAGTGCAGTGCTAAAGACAGATACAGGCTCCTCATCAGGAGAAGAAACAAGAAATCAAAAAGTCATTATGGGATCCCCAACTTAACTGGCAACTAGATCAAAGAAGCAGTAGCAGAAATCATACTTACCAAAGTGTGCAATGACAATTCAAACATTACACTACCAGGACTGATGAAGCTAAGAAGTCCATCCCTATTTGGGTGAACTCTTACCCTCCAACTCACACATCTTCGCTTGGTAAACTCACTAGTCACTAGTCAGAAGAGTGGTTATCATAGAGACAACCTGTATGTACTTCAGTGTTAGCCCCTGACCCCCACAGAACACAGCTACTACACCATCACTGAAGACAACACATGTAGTGCGATGGTAATTCTCATTAGAGAAAATGTAGAGCACGGCAAAATGTCCCTCCTAAAGAAAGCCCACAGGACCAGAGCATAGGGATATAGAATTCAAACCCAAGGCTTCACATATAGAGTGGGGTTATCATTTGTCACCCTTTGAATGTGGGCCCTAACAACACAAAGGAATGAATGGAAAGGGAAAATCACAATTAACCTCATCAACATCCCTTCTCCAACCACAGCACATGTCCAGGATTACTTGACTTTACTTAGGCACTTAACACAAATTCTGAGAAAAATGCATTCTTTCTGATTCATCTTGACTCTAAGATAGCACACAGAGAGGATAGTATTAACTTTCCTGTGTGCGTATGTATTCAAACTTTTTAATGCTTCAGTTCTTATATGCTCCATATGACAAAAGCAATTTCATAGTGAGGTCAAAGATTTCCAACTTTCTCTTTCCTTAGTAGGAATTCACAGGAAGAATTACATAGTAAAATATCAAGATGCAAGAGGTAATTTAATAAAAAGCTGATACAGAAGCTGCATATGTCATGGCATCTTTGTATGAACAGTAAAAAGTGGTAACATCACCTTGCAACTCTTACAATGGTACTAAGGAGGTGTTACGCTAACAAGATACAATCGGAAGGTTATAATGAAATTTTAAAAAGGGCAGGAAATCAAGTCCAGTTCATTTCTTCAAGCTAAATTTCATCATTTCAGAAATGATGCTATTTGATCTCAAATCACGAATCTGAGAACCCTTACTAGCTATGAGGCTCAGTAGTAAACCACTTACCTAATCTCTTTGTACATCTCTGTCCTCATCTACAAAATGGGAATAACAATAGCACCTCAGGATTGTGGGAGAGGATTAAATAAATTATTCACAGATGTAAAGTGTCTAGAATAGTGCCTGGCACCTAGAAAGCTCTCAGTACCTCTCAACAGTCATGATCATGATCACAGCCATCTCAGAAAACACATTCCCACAGTGGACAGGAACCAGAAACTCAATTATTATACTACTGAGTTTTGTATTTAAGTAATAATTTGGAGGTTTCTAGAATGTGTGAGCATGAAGTTGGAAAATACACACTTCGAAAGGGGAAAAATGGTGCTTCCACAAAGACATCAAACCCTAAAAAGGCTAGACTCGGGGAAGAAAAAAAAATGTGGTTGACCTGAATAACCCACTTCCTTGAAGTATAGAACACCTATAATGCAAAGTTAGATGTAGAGACTTCAGAATAAACATGAATAATGCCTTCTGCAAGTTTATTTGTAGTAAAGCAGTGATTTCTAGCAGGCTATGTATGTAGCTAACATGACATGTTGGGCCACTAATGTCTTCATTAAAAATACCTCTTCCTGATTGTACATTTTGTCATAAGATAGCTGCTAGTTCAACAATATTACTTACCACATTAAAGTCTGTCCTCAGATACCAAACTTAAAAACATAAGATGTATTAAATTAAAATCTAAAAATAAGAATACAATTTAGCATATTCACACCGTATTACAATATTGAATCAGATGTCACTATAGTTTCAGAAAACTATCTTATGTTTCAAACACATGATTTATCCATCTTTAGTAATATTCATACTAGTATCCAAAACCTAAGAACTTTAGGATATACTAGTACATTCATATCAGAATGACATACGTTCTATATTCTCAATACATTAGAACTCTCATTTCCCCCCCAAAGAAACCCTTAACACCAAAACAAAACAAAAGCCACCACTACACTATTTTAGGTAGATGCCCCTAGAATAAAGAACCTATTTCAAAATTATTTGTTTAGGAGATACTTTGGAAAGATTTTGTGACATTTGTTCATGTGTCCTCATGTCTTAAATAACATAAGACTCTAAGTTGTACATGAGACCTTTTCCAAGTCAAAGGAATAAGTAAGTATAAAAGTAGTGGCTCTGACAACTACTAAATGTAACTTTCAAGTTTTTAAGAATAAACACTAGAGGGAAAAATAGAAATGAATTCTCCAATCTTAGAGTTTTGGTTTCATGATTCTGTTAATTGTGAATCTTGAACTTTAGTTGTTTTGCAGAGAAAAGAATCCAAATATTTGCAGCTATACTCTATCCAGTTTATATTGTAAACTTGGACCATGTGCTCAGAAGATGGAGAATCATCCCTTGCAATATGGTGGTTGTGTTACGCAAATAGAAGTGTGAATTCACTTACACTGAAGTTGTTGGAGTTGTTCAGTTTTTAAAGGCTTTTCTTGATGAACCAGGTTCCTATCTTTTTCATAAATGTAACGTTTCTCCGTAATAGTTCATTTTTTATTGGTGTTTTATTTCCCATCTTTTCTGTCCATCTCACTGGACAAGCAACTCGATTTACTTTTTGCTTTACAATTCTTGACAATATTTTGAGTCCTATGAAAAGTTAAACCTCTTCATTATAGAAACTATTTTTGTACCAGCACAGACCATTTGAAGTTTTCTTAAAAATAAACTTTAATTAAGTAAACGTAATAGCAATTTCTCTAC